ATTTGACCCCAGTGCTCTTCCTGCCATGGCAGGGGGTCGGACTAGATGATCTGCTCAGGTCCCTTCCGACCCTAGAAACTATGAAACTATCTTACTGGAGTTTTGTGCTCATTGTCTAAGGGCTTTATTCAGCAAACATTAATCTCCCTTCATGTCTTTGACAAGACCTTCCCTGGCGGAGAGACCTACGGTAGGATTCTGGTCTGAACTCGATATTGCTCTTTCAGTGAGATACTGGGGAAGCTGCAGATCAATGTAGAAGAGTTTCCTCCCACAAGCTGCACAGGCTGCTCTGGGGAGGAGAGATCTTATCTGAATCCTTCGTGTGGCCAGACACCAATCTTAAGATCAACAGACCAAAGGGCTCATGACCTTTTGGATCCACGATTCCCTGAACAACTGAAAAACAATCCTCCAACTTACTGTATCCCACAATCCTCTGCTAATTACAAGGAACAGCTGCACTTTGCTCCCTGGGTGACCTCTAGCCACTGTGCAGGTTATGAGGTTATGGACTGATTCTATCTCCAACGCAGTATGGTGAGCATGGACTATAAAGAGCCACCATCACATGAGCTCATGCACCATACAATCAATTTTGAGGCTTTACAGGAAGGGAAGTGCTGTTCCAAATACTTGGGTCTATTGGCCAGGTGCTAACATGATAGATAGACCGGAGACTTGACTTCTACTCCTGGCTTTGTGGACCTGCAGTGCAAGATGTTCTGTGGCTCTTCTTCCACTTCCACCCCTTTGCAGACTTAGAAAGTTAGCTCTTCAGAACAGACACTGCTTCTCACTACATATCTGTGCAGCAGTTAGCACAATGGGGGTCCCAACCTGGGTTGGTTCCCCCTGGTGTTACCAGGAAATAACAGTACCCTGAAAACACGGTGTGTGGTTCCTAGCTGGGGACTGCTAGGTTCAAACCAGCACCACTGGTTTATGGCTCTGGCCATTCACAGTACTGGAGATCAGATTTTCCAAACCCAAGCTACTTACTCTTCTGGTTTGTTCAAAGGTCCTCGATTCATGGAGGCCATGGTGTTGTCTGTCCATGGAAGTTGGTCGCCCATTCCTGGCTGCCCAAACTGGTGATCTGGAACTCCCAATTCCAGCTCGGATATTCCTGATTTGGAAAAAGCAAAGGTGGGGGAGACAAGGTGTTACAGAGGAGGAGAGGTCTCGCAATCAGCATCTTGGGGGAAGTTGCACAAGTTTTTCCCCATTTACCATCCTTTGCACCCATGTGTGAAATACCTTCTGTGTCTAGGTGAGCGAAGAGAGAGGGAGAAAGTAAAAGGAAGGGGAAAAAAAAACCTGTTTAGACAAATGGTGGGACAACTGGGAGTCATCTGACAGACCTTGGTTCACACTGGCGGGTCTCCATTCCCACAAGCGTTCAACAGGTCAGTCCAAGCTGCTTGTGTGGACAAGGATGACCACTACCAGAGGATTAAAAAACGGGGGGCTGCTTATCTTACTCAGATACCACGGTGATGAGCACACAGCGTGCACCAAAGACAGAGAGATGATACAGAAGCCTCAAGCCCCTTGTCCTGCCCCATCTCCTGCTACCTCAGACCAGGAACCCAGGGTGGGTCAGTGATTTGTTTCACGTTGGCTTTCTATCAGTACATGAGCACGGCACATGCACTGTATATGTGCAGAGTACCCAAGCTTTCACCAAAGGCAGCTCGCTCCCCTCACCCTCCACACCGCCCCACATACCTGCCCAAATCACAACAGCCCAGGTTACCTACTGCTGCCCAAATGCATGGACTCTGTTTCTTTGACAGAGGTGGACAGGGTTTGCAGGACAGCTACAGTGTGTTGCCATTATGGAATAAGCAGTAAAGGCAAGGATACTGGTACTCTCAGATTTCAAAATACATGACACGCATTTTCAGAAAACAGACACGCTCAGAGTGTGCAAGACACTCACTGAGGCCTCGAGAGCTCTCATTCCTAGTGGCAGAAACATCAAGAGGCAGCTCTTTTCAGCCCAGTGACAGCTACCAGATGCAGACAAGATCTTTTGGATAAACACTGATAAGGTGCCACGGTCTCTTCCCCACTCTGTACACACAGTGACCCTGCAAAAAATGCCTCTTCTACTTGGATCTAGGGAAGTTTTTACAGTGTTAGCCAGCTAACAGGTTCTTTCTTATTCCTACTGGAGATTTTGCTTGCAAAAAGGAACCCCCTGCACATGCCTCCTGATGCTGTTTGACTTCCGATATCATAGAAACTAATTTTAAAAGGGAAAGGGCTAATTGGAGCAAATTAAATTCAGCAGGTGTTTGAGCCCTAGCCCGGGCCACACTCCGCCTGAAGACTTGGTGGCATCGTCTGATTGGAAATGGGAGTTGATCCTGAAGAGTGAACGGCCTCTTGGCTAACCTAACTTTCAACACCAGTGCAGAAGAAAAGCCACGATGGGCAAGACCATCCTGGCTTTGCTTCTGAGCACCTGTTTCTATCCCAAACGACTATCATTTCTAGGGGCTCAAGTACTCACTTTGTTGGGCAGTTACTAAAATAAATGGAAAGTCTTTTTTTTCCCTGCATGTTGCTCATCTGTGCCAATTCCCTTTTTCCAGTAAGACGAGATGTGGTATTAAAACCATTATCAGTTACAGAGATTTGTGTCCTCATTCAAAACTCCCCACTGAACCTAATCCCGTGCGAGTGCTTTGGCTCATCTTTGGTGGCTGGGGCATGTAAGAGGGTTGTGAGCCTCCTAATTGTCAATGGACCCAATCCTTTGCTCGAGCACCAACTGGCCATGCTTGTAGCTCCAGAGGCTCCCGCCTCAGTCACCCCATTTGGGGCCGGCGCCACGCAGAGCTGTTATAAACGGCAACTGAATTCCCGTGAAACTAGCCCTACCACCTGAGCACGCTGCTTGGATCCATCTTGCTGACCTCCTTCAAGCACGTCCTCCCAGACCTCCCTTTGGAGGAAAAGGAGGAGGGGTCCCCGTGCCTTCCTCCCTCTCACGGATTGTGCCGGGCTGGCTATCCTAATTACGGCCACACATTGGAGAGGCGACTCCACCGCGGGTTCATTTACTTCTTGCAATTACTGTGCAGAAAGACAAGAGCCTTAAGGTTGCCTGGCAACAGAAGAAGAAAGGAAGTGCTAGCGCAGCAGCGGGGCCCGCTCCAGCTGGGCAAGAGAAAACCCCATGCACAATTGCTTTGCAGCCCAATTCAGATTCCCCGCAGGCTCCTCTGACACCGACCCCGCTCTTCACTTGTGCTGAAGCTTGGCAGCTTCTCCAAGCCAGGGTGTGGTCCCCGGCTCTTCCCCGTACACACCCATCAGTGAGACGATGGCTTAGAAATCCAGGTGCCTTCTTCCTCCTTGAGATCAACCAAATCCTCCTTTGGTATCAGGTCAACCCGACCCGAGCCATCCCAAAAGCTATGGTTTTACAAGGGGGATCGCGCTAGTGCTTTGTACTGAGGTCCTTGCGGTCAAGTCCGTCGGCGAGGAGGCCTTTCGCTGCTCGTGGCCATTAGAAATCTGCAACACGGCACGTCATCTGCCCCCCAGCTACCCCACTGCACTTTGGCCCTGGCCTCCTTCACTAATGCAGCACTAGGCTGCAACCACCTCCTCTCCAGCTGCCTTTGAGGACTGGAAGTGCCAACCTCATTTCACTTGCAAGCCAAGGCGAGTCCCTACACAGCGCTCCAGACAAGGAAAGCTAGTGCAAAACACTACCTGACAAGCTGGTCCCTGGATTTTGTGTGAAGCTGGTCTTAGGCACCTACTGACTTCAAAAGCAGACAACGACCCTCGCAGAGACAGGCTCAGAGGTGCCTCAGAGGACAAGGAGTAACACTCCTCCTTTAACTGCAGCAAGGCAAATTTAGGTTGGAGATTAAGAAGAACTTCCTTGCTCTGCAGGCGTTTCAGCACCATAACAGATGCTCGGGAGGCTGTGGAGTCTCCATCCTTGGACGTTTTCAAGAGCTGGAAAAACGCTTGGCTGGGATGGTTTAGATAGGGCCAGTCCTGCCTTGGGGCTGGACCAGACGGACTCCTGAGGACCCTTCCAGCCCTACTTTTCTACATTTCCAAATCTTTACTATTTTCTGGCCGGGCAGTGGAAAGCAGCATGGTCAGATAAACCGTGGGTGGAATTTAAGGTTCTGTACCGGACTCCCTGGGGATCAATACATTTAGTAACGAACATTTCCGAGTCTAGGTCCAAATCCACAGATCTCACTTGCCTTTGGTGTTGGAGACAGGACACTGGACCATATGGCCTGATCCAGTCTGGCAACTCCTGCTTTCTCAGGCTGAGATGAGCAACCCTGGACTGGAGACTGCCTGTGATCTCCTTCCCTGCTGTTGGCCTGCCATTACAGCACTTCCCTTCCTTTTTGGAGGACAAAACAAACGGGTCCTGCCCAGCCAGAGCGCAGCCCGGCAAGTGGGAATACTGAGATCTCTACCACTGTGTCATTAGTCCTGCCTTGCACCCTGCACATTATAGTCTAATGTACAACCTGTGTTGAGATCCTTGCCCCTGCAGCTTTTCATCCACATTCTCACAAGCTTCTGGGCAGAGCATAGCCAAAGCCAGCTGCTGACACCAAATTTCAGGTAGCCCCACCAGCTCTCAAAAGCAGCTTATTCATGCCAAGTTGTATGCAAAGATGGTCTACCCCAGCAATTCTCAACCAGGGATGCTATGAGATCCTTTGAAGGGTGCTACAGGGTGGGAGGAGGGACGTACTGGCTTGTCCCTGCCCGGTCACTCCTCCTTCCTAACCAACCTGTCCAGTCCCTGTGGTGGGTGGGAAGCACCGTAATGAATACATTCACTTTTCCAGTGGGATGTTCCTCAATTCACAAGACTTATGGAGGGGGCCTGGGGTCTAAAAAGGTAAACCGCTGGTCTGGACTAATGCCCAGAGGAACCTTCCCCCTTGCATTTGCTGTGCTGTAGTCCTGGTTGTACCTTGGACCAGATCTTTCTAGGCACAAGGGAAGGCAAAGAACATCATTTTTATCTGAAATAATGCAGATTAAAAAACAGAAAAGGCAGAGCCTGAAAGCCAACTGCCTCTGAAGAACAGTCAGGGTATGGGGGGCACCAGAGCTGTCAGGTTATTTCAGATTAAGGAAGTGAATTGAATTCCTATATTCCAACCCCTGCAAGTTGTGATGCTCCACTGAGAAAGCAGAGCGATGAGAAGGGGCGGATATGCAGGGGTGCAGGCTTGTTCCCAGATACTGCACTGCAGGCAAGAAAGGCCTCGTTCTTGCATCTGCCCCTCTGTCTGTAGATAGCAGGGCAGGACCATGTTGCCTTGTGCAGCTTGTCCCATGCCATCCTTAAAACAGCTCATTTATTCACACACTGCACGGCCACAAATAAGACTCGCACTTTCTTTAGGGGAGAGCAGACTGAAGAAAAGAAAGAGCTTTCCCGTTAACCAAACTGCTCCAGATCAGTCTCCGCGTTTAAGACCCCGACCCTAATTTCTGAACACTAGTTTTCGGGCAAAAGGTGAGTGTTGGTATGTGAATAAATAAGTTCATTTCTTAAAATACATGCCCTGCCCCACCAGCATGAAATCCAAACACAAGGTCTAGGCCCCACCTGACTCCCACTCATGTCATTGATGGATGCTCGGCGCTGTGGGGTTTGGACCAATTTGGGTGCTCTCCCTGCTATGCTTTCATACCGGTAGACCCCCCAGAAATGGCTGTTGCGAGCTGCCAGGAAAGAGCAGGCCCAGATCCGTGGTTTCCTGTGGGAGTACGTACCTGTGTCGGGCTGGAAGGGGGTTGGTCCAGTTACTGTCCCCCTGCCCTGCTCCGACGGGAACCCGAAATGAGGACTGTTGCTGTTCGTTGCAGGAAAAGGAGCTGGCCTGAGCTGAGGTGGCTCCACGGGGTCGCAGAACTCAAATGGAGACCGACCAGCCTGCATGCCCTGCCCGCTGTTAATAGCTAGAGAGCCATTAAATAATAAATAAGTACAACTCAGACAGCTACCAAGGGCTCATCGCAACATTGCCAGTGCTCGACAGATTCATTGCCCTGCCAGGAAAGGAGCTGACATCAATAACTTTGGAGGGCGAGAGGGGGATTAACAGGGGAACGGCATGCTTATGGCACTCGGGAGCAGTGACTGCCGGCCGCGACTCCGTCACTCGGAGGTCATCCAGGCAATCATGCCTCAGAGTGCAAGCAATAACCGGCTGCACCCAGGGCAGAAAAGCCACCGATCGGCACTGGACAGTGACCTGGCTCTGCCTTGCCCCTCGTGAAAACGCAGATCGTGCAGGCTGCCATCATTAGAGGAGTGGAGAGGAAGGGGCCAGTGCCTCAGGATAAACGGCCTGTGCGCACACTCTTACTCCATGGTAAATGAGAGGTAATTCAACACGCCTTCATCAGGAGGTGACCGTGAAGTACGAGCATACGCACGGGCAGTTATGCTGGGACAACTATAACGTTACGTAGCCATGACCTGCTTGAAGCCCAAGCAAACAGTAAATGCAGGGTATGCAGAAGGCAGCTGGACCTGCCTGGAGCTTTGTGCCTACCTGTTAGAGAGCAAGAACCAGGCATGTTCTGAACCCCTGGGAATTGCCCCACGTGCTTCACTCTCCAAACATCCCATCACTACAGCTGGTCATTAAAGCGGAGGTGCAGAGATTTGCACAGGGCCAGGAGACTCCAGTGCTGATGGCCTGCAGCAGGGGGATGACTTTCACCTACCATCCGCCAGAGGTCTCTGCCCCTTCTCAGCGGGGGTTTAATGGAGCAGGAGTGCAAAGAAGCCCCACATGCCTTTATTTTTATGGTGCCTGCCAGCCTGGAATGAACATCCAGCCTCCTGATACTGAGCATCAAGACGGGGAGAATGTTAAGCCGTTTGGAAAGAAACCAGGACGAAGAAATTGTGTTGGTCATGTGCAGAATCCAGGTGTGAGACATATCCCACTTGATGGCGAAGAGCCAGGTGCTGCTGCAGGTACTTCCAGCCCCTCCTTGAGTGTCTCCCCCTTGCTCAGGGGTTGTGCTTCTTCAGGGCAACTGAAGAGGCCTTTATTGAACCCTCTGAACCACCAAATCCTTGCATTTTGTTTGCCAAGCCCTTAGGTTGAATGTCACCTCTGCACGTGGGGCCAATGCAAAGACCAGGCAGCTGCATGTTACTCTCTGCCAGTCTAACCATCTGGCATCTCTCTCCTGTCATGGGTTACCCATCCAGTTTAACCCAACTGCACCAACTTGAACAAACTGGCTTCTTCCCAGGCATTCGGCTCTGAGCTAGCTATTCTTGCTGGCTAATGTTCCTCCTTGTACAGTAGAGTCACAGCTGGAGTTTCAGGAGCGTAACTGGGCTTGCTCCCACTGCAGATTGTACTATAAACCTACTCCCTGCCCCTGCCAATCTCAGTTTAACTCCTCTCTGGTATAAGGTTCCCTTGCGCCCCACAGACAGTAAGTCCCATTACAATCGCACTCATCGTGTCACTGCATTATAGATGCCCCTAATACGCAGGTCCCCAAAGGTACTGTCTGTTTTGGCCTTCGAATGGGAGAGCAAATAATAGGTTTGAGTGATAAGCTGCCGTCTGATCTTTAGCTGCGAATTCAGCAGGGAGGGGATGGGACAATGGGTCAATGGTTACAATTACAGAGCTGACGGCTCCTTTTCACACACCCAGCTATCCTCTATTGTGGAGCTGTGCAGCACGGGGCTCCGACAGGCTTGCTGTCATCCACGGCTCTCGCCAGGTTCAATGCCTGGGGTGCTGTCTCCCACCTTGCCTGGAGCTCTGGATGCAGGTCCTTGCCTCTCCCCGAGGCATCGAGCCTTGTCCCTCACTAATGGCCAGCCCCAGTGACGGAGCCAACCTGCTGCTCACAGACCACAGTGCTCTTCTTAGCAGGGCACGAGCTGCTGGGTGTGCGCAGCTCAGCTGTACACTACTCCAGGAGGGCACCAGCGTCGTCTCAAAAGCCACGTCCACTCCTCGGTCACGAAGCCAGGTTTTCCTCCTCCTCACAGCGCTGAGCCGCTCTTCCTTGCACTGTAGGGTTTTACTCTGCTGAAGACACTGGATTTATGGCCAGAACATAACCCAGGCTCTTGGTTTACCCCAGCCAGGCAGTGCCATTTGGTGGGTCTCTCTCCCTGGCTTCTGCCTGAGACTGCAGAGCCAGCCAGCAGCTTCATTATCTCTATTTGCTGAATAAGTAATGCGTGGATTATCCCTCCCTAGGTAGAATGTTAAACAGCAGCTAATTGGTTTATATCTGGCATTATTCTGCCAACCATTAGATTTTCCTTTCAGAAAATTCCTCTCCCGCAGCCTTTGGACTCCTTCAGACAGCCCTGTTCGATAGCAAAATCTGCACCTCAGCTTTAAGGACTCAGCGCAATTTCCAGTGACAATGTGACTTATCCCCCCGCCCCCATCCTTTTGGCTCACGGTGATGCAGAAACGCAATAAAAACCAATTGTAGTTTGTCCAGCCTGAAACAGAGCGGGGGGACAGGGAGGGCCTCGTACGGCTGAAATCTGGTGCTCCTCTTTGCACTGGGGCCGGCAGGGAATGGAGGGGTTGGGCGAGGACAGTTTCAACCGAAACGACAGCAACGCAGCAGACTTGTGCCAGCATTGTCCCGTCTCTCAGGGTGCCGGGGCGTGATCCCCAACCAGCAGGGCTGTGCTGGCCGAAGTCCCTGGTGCCGACATGGTTATACAAGCAAACTCGTACCTGGACACTGCAGGGGGAGGAGGCGGCATGTTACCACACTCGTTACCGTACTGAACCCTGCCATTGGCACAGTGGATTTCGGCTGCCCTTGCAGTGCGGATGTGGCCCGAGACCCACCTGACAGAGCAACCCCTCGGGCTCCTGAGGGGAAGCCGTGCTGCCCTCACTAAAGCTCCACCAGTTGATTCTGCTTTTGCCCACAAGCTCTTCCGGGCGCAAGCGCTGAGGCTGTTTTGCACTGCCTCACCTCTCCTGACCAGGCTATGTATTGTGGTGTCTCCCTGGGGATGAACCAGGAGGCCCTGTGAGCGACGGTGACTGTCCAAGCCCATGTGCAGTGACCCCCTCGTTCCTGAGCCTGTCTGCTTGTGTAGTCCCCAGCTCTGAACCTGTGCAGGGACACCCCCCTGCCCTCTTACTCACTCACGTCACAGTGGGTCGAAATGCAGGCAGGGGCGGGAGGGGTCTCAGTCACAGTTCTCTACAAGGGAGAGCCATGCAGCGTTAATGGAAAACCCATGCAACTGCAAAAAGCCTCCCCAGTGCTGGGGGTGGGGGTGTGAGAGCGCAGGGATCTGCCCCGCCATACACGTACGATTGAGACCCGCGGGGGTCCTTGCCATGCTGCTGGCCTGGAGCGGAGCTGCCATCATCTCGGGTTTGATTGCCACGCCACTTTCGGTTCTGTCTGGCCCGCACAGGCCCGGCATTTGCGCTGCCTTCTCCAGCGATGGCAACAGCTGGTCGAGCTGGTCGAGGTCGGCGGCAAACTGAGGGAGGAAACAAGATCAGGGGTGAGTCGCAGACCCTCTGGCCACCAGCGAGGGGAACGAGAGCTTTCCATTATCTTAACTACACGAGCAATTCCAAACCCGGCTTCTCCCCAGCCCTATAATTAACTTGCTTGCTAAAACTGCGTGGGGCTCACGGCATCCCCTGCGCCTCAAGCCTGTTGCAGTGCAGTTTTCTATCCCCTCCCTCAGTACTGATGGAAAGGCCTTTGCTGGGTTTGTATCACTGAGAACATAGGAGCGCCAGCCTGGCAGCAGGGATTGATTTCCCTCCCTCCTGCCTCCAGGCTCGGGGCAGTGTCCGTCCACTGGTGTTTAGTGGCGTTCCCTGCGTGAAACTGGAGGGAAAGGGGAGACTGCAACCCCACAGGCTAGCGCAAACCCAGAGCACTGAAGGACAGAGGCAACAGCGACATCTTCACCATGAAATGCTGCCGTTTTACAGACACGGGGGACCCACAGCCACCTCGCAGGGGACAAACACCTGCACAGTAGAGGAGGGTCGTTTTATGGTCAGGAGAGATGGGTTCAGGTCCAACCCGGCACAAGCCTCCTGCGTGACACCGTCTCATCTAACCTCCCTACCCCTCAAGTCCCAGCTGTAAAACAGGAGTGATTATACCACCCTGCCCCCGCTCTTAATTTCTCTTGCCTATTTAGACTGTAAGCCCTTTGGAGCTGGGATGGTCCCGTGCTGTTGTGTTCATACAGGGCTCAGCACAACGAGGCCTTGTTCTCAGCTGAGGTTTCACGACACCACTATGATAGTCACAAATATTATTAATGGCTTGAAGGGGCTGTAGCAAACCTACAGCTATTAAACAGGCTCTGGTTTGCTCTGTTAATATACAGGTGCTTAAGCTGAGTTAAAAAATCACCTCTCCTGAGAAGCGGCTTTATGGAACAACTCTCCAAAACTCTACGTGAGCCTTTGCCTAGGGCCGTACTTGATGAGCTAGTAAAATATAATTTAGCCTTTACAATCTTCATCATGGCAAAGAGTGGAAGAGGAGATGTCTGGCCTGGGGAGTCCAATAAATGGGGAAGTTACTGGGGAAGCGATTCACACCAGTAGAGATAATGACAATCCTGTGAAGCAGCAGGTTGGGACAAAAGGGGACAAGATAAATGGGGCTGTGGCTAAAAATAACCGCTCAAGGGAAGCCAAATTTTAAAGTCTCGCAGTCAAAGGACACATCTGAATGTGGTTCTCAAAACGGCATAACAAACCGCGTGTGTGTTAAGCAATGTACACGTTGACCGAGGCAGAATTACTGAGCTCAAATACATTTGCATTTGACCAAGGGATGCAGGGAAGGAAGAACACCGTGATGGGGAGCCGGGTCATTAGCTGGGCTATGAGGTTGGAGCTGACAGTCCTCACGTCTACGATGAATATAACGAGATTTACCAGCGGCCTGGGGTATGCAGGCAGCTGTGCCTTTCACAAAAGAGACCAGGCATCCGCATGGCCGTGGAGAAATCAGCTGCGCGACTGAAGGGCAGGCCCGGGGGTGGGAAGCTTCCCTTGGCGTCTCACCATGGGGCAGCTCGGGGCTGGCCTCAGCCTTGCCCTGCTTCGTAGCAAGGGATTCATGCTTCTTAGGGGCCTGCAGGCTAGCTGTGGCCAAGGCAAACTCTGACAAGGGCCTTGCAAGGGGCCGGCTGATTGCTTAGAAGAAAAGACTCCGCAATTAGCAAAAGGGGACAAGATAAATTAGCCTCTTAGGAAACCAAAGCCAGGGAAGGCCTCCAGCAAGAAGCAGGAATGCAAGGGATGGCCAGTGGGGAGGATCTGGGAAAGGAGAGGCAGGAACAGCTCCCTTCCTCTTTCATTACGGAGGTAAGGAGAGGTTACCGAGGTTGAGTCTCCACAACCCCCGTGACAAGCGCCTTCTGCATCCTACGTGAGCTGTGTTAGTTATCTGGAAATGCAGAATGGCCTCTGAAGGGATGAGCAGGTCTCTCTGCTGGGGACAGCCACATCACATCAGTGGACCAAAGGCAGAGGCTGTCTAGCAAGCGGCCTGAAAGCAGAGCAGAAGTCTGCCGCCAACCGCCCGCTCAGGCAACACCACCCGGAGCCCTGCTAGCCCCATGTCCAGCCCCCGGCTGTGGCAGAGGAAGGTTGATGCTTTTGCTTCCTGGGGCAAGTTTTGTGTTCCTCACCCTCCCCGGGAGGGGAAAACCTTGGCACTCTCCAAGGACACAAAGCGCGGCCGTATCATGCTCGCCTGGTGCAGACAGGTCCTGGAAGTGGAGCGACTGGCATTGATAAAGTGCCACCGCACCTCATCAACATGAGTTCGAGGTTATCGCTCTCCGAGGATCCAACCTAGAGACTTCTCTCCATATTTATTCAAGTACAGCACAGAAAATGGCAAAAGACAGCGCTGTCTGTTTAGATTATTCTCCCCTCTCTTTTACTGACAAAACGTCACCCGTTTATCAAGTCTCCCAACAAAGGGACAAGCCCAGAAAGGTGCTTTCAGGTGGTAATGCACTGCATAAAACGATTAGGACGTGACGATCTCATGAGGAGAAGGGACTCTACTGAGCCAACTCAGGCAAAAAGATGGGTAGATTGCTGCTACCAGCACCTCAATTGTTTCACGGACATGGCAGTATAGCCATGGTGGGGGTATACTCCCCATCACCTGGGTCTCCTGCAAGACTCTGCCATGCAGCTTCTGAACAGCTGCTCTCCTCCGAGATGCGCAGTCTCTGTCTGAGCAGAGATCACATTTCCTGATCGGCTTGGACTGATCATTTGCTCTCTACGGTCATGGCAGCATCTCAATAGGTAGGCAGGCAGGCAACTAGGCAGGCATTGCTAATATACTCTACCTCTGCAGCAGGGCAAGCGCTTGCTTTCCTCGCAGCATGGCTGTAAGGATGAAGTTCACACAGTGCTCCGAAAATGAAAGGTGTAACTACGTAGAATAAGTCCTATGTAGAGTTTATATTATGGTTTGTATGGGATAGTTTGGATAAGGATGATCCTGCCTCAGGCAGGGGGTTGGACTAGATGATTTCTGGAGGTCCCTTCCAGCCTCACTGCTCTAGGATTGTATGGTTGAGCTAGGTGGTAATTATCAATGCCATGAGTTACAGCAAAATATCTGCCCATTGGCTTTCCACCACCTTTTCTCTCCATCAGATTCTAAGCCCAGAGTCCACAGGAAAGGAACGCCCTTACAAACATGCCGGTTCCCGCTTAGACGGAGGATCAAATGCAAGGTGCGCACTTCAGTGGACACTCTGCAAAAGGACCACACAATTCCACAGAGAAATGCAGCTGGTTGTCACAGCAATTTTCCTTTGGGTGCGATGCACCTTGCAAAAAAAGGGCAGACAGGTCATGTACGGCACACAACTATACAGCACCCCGATGGTGGTAGGGGAGCGCTCTATACAAGGCAGAAGACCTGTCTACAAGACACACTCGCCCCCCGTCATAAGATATGGGGCAAGATACAGGAGTCACTGGGTGGCACTCTGTGACCTGGGTTTACAGGACCACAGCGGTACACTCTGGCTCTAATGATGTATGGAGCGGTGCAGCTGAGAGACACCTGCCTTTTGATTAGCAAAGAAAAATATTCAGGTTTAAGAGAGAAAATCTTTCTAACAATAAATTTGCAGGCAAATTCTGTCCCGGGATACTGCAGGCATTCGCAGGTAACATCCCGATAAGCTGAAGTGACGATAGCTAACTTCACCACTCACGCAAGCAGGGTACCACTCAGGTAACTCATTAGGAGGCCACGCAGACTGTCTTGTTACCTAGAAGAGGGGAAGCCCTGAAGGAGAAGCCTTTACACAGAGTCACACAAAGCCCTTGGAAAAAATAACGAATACAGCTGCCTTGTCAAGCGGTCTGCCTGGGAGCCGGGATGGAGTCACAGGACTGACGCAAGAGGGAGCAGGGAATGGGGCTTCAAAATGAAGCCAACTGCCTGGAGGTCTCAGCCTTAGCCTTGGCTCACTCTTGTCGAGTGCTTTCGTGGGTTGAAAAGCGCTGTCAGGCTGACCTGGCTCCCACACTCTTACCGGGGCTGGAAAGTCCACGAAAGACTCAATGCTTTGGGCTGGTCTCGTCTAGGCCCTCCCGACCCTAGAGGCAGGTGCATGGCCGAAGGTCATTTGGAGCCGCGTTTTGGTGCCACGCGCACAGCTGCCTGGAGCGAACAGTTAACACTGCGCAGTGACAGCTTCCCTCCGTCCCTATGGTGTCTAAACAACACCACAATTACTGCCACCCAAATGCCAGCCCGCCTAATCCCATCAGCGGGGAACAACAGGCTAATCGCCCAGCAAAGCCCCTGTCCAGCGTGACCGGGTATATCAGTTACGGCCTGCTAAGCCAGGAGAGTTAGTCTTTCCACAGAGAGGGTTAGTGGGGAAGGCTTAGCTGTCAAGCCAACAAAGTGAAAAGGATGAAGCCCACAAGCCCTGGGCTTCGATTCCCTGCCTCTTCTTGCCCTTGCTGTTGTACTGCAGTGCCCTGCCCAGTGATACACAGCTCCTATGCCTGCGCTTCTCTGCATGCAGCGACGTGGACCGGGCTCCCAGATGAAGCCTGCACACAACTGCTTCCCTTCTCCTAAGCTCTTCCTCACACTTCATGTGCTTTGATACACGTAGGGAACTGCTGTTCTGCAGGGCAGGGGGGTGATTGAGCTGTGCAGGGCCTAGCGCTGCCAGTCTGTCACCTAGAAAGGCTAATGCCAGCCACAAAAGCAATGCTTCTGCTCCCGGCAATGTAGCAGGCCTCGCAGGAGCCTGGAAGGCCTGCTCAGATGCATCACTGGGACAGGCCGTACCTTTGAAGATACCATATTCCTGCACTTCATTACTCCACTCACCATCTGCTAACATGGGAGGGGAGAGTGCAGCTTTGCGCCCACTTCTGAGGGTACGAAATCGTCAGGGCAAATCACTTGATGAGTTCCTAATTGGTAAACGCTTGACAAGTCCATGGCGTCGTTGCAGTAGCAAGGACCCTATTCCCAGCTGTTATATTAAGCTGGTTGTCATCTTTGCTGACCTAAATTTCCCCTGAAGTTTCAACTTGATGCAGCGTTCTTCGTTCCCTGCCCTGAGCTGCTTGGTCAAGCAAGTTGCCAAATCCCACCACAGAAGTTGCTGCACTTTGGCATCAGAAGTGATTTCTATGCTGTTTGTGTTTCTATGCATTTGCGCTGGTCTTGTCTGGGCCCTCCTGACCCCAGAGGCACGCGCAAGGCAGAAGCCAGCGTGTAAGAGCTTGTTGGTGCTTGGTGAAGGTGGACGGATACAACCGTTGCGTGTGAGAAAAGAGGTAGACGTTTCCTCTACAAATGTTAAGGACTTTCCTTCTTGCAGAGCCAGGGATCAGTGCCAGCGCTCCTGAGTTACAGCCTCCACCATCCAACCATGCCCCTAAGGTCAGTGCTGGGGCCAGAAGTCTTCACAGGGAAGTGGGCTCAAAAACAACACCGAACCCCGCTAAAAACACCAGGTTGGCAAGCTGCACGATGCGCATTCGTCCCATGTGTCTGGTGGCCCGAAGCACAGAAGAGATTGCTTTAACTTACCACTGATGAGATTAATTTAATTAATAGAAGCCTGTGGTGTCATTTAAATGATACAGCCCTCTCTCCTCCAGAACTGGGCCTAAGAGGCTATTACTTCTCTGGCAGAACAGGCGCCATCAAGCCTGCAGGCTCTACTTTGCATCGCATCCACCCGGGAAGCTAAAAGCGCATCTTCACATCCGGGGGACTCGCCTCTCTGCTGCAAATATAAAAACTAATGTGCTGCAGATTTCCCAGCAGGCTGGGGAACGCTGGAGTGTGGTGCTCCCCAAATGCTTCCCCTGCCGGGGCTGCGCTCTGCATCCCAATGACATTCCAGCCTTGCTGCTACGGTTCAATGTCCAACACAGTTTATTACAAGCCCTCTTTGCATGCTTAACTATGCAAGCTCCCTCTGGCCTGAAACCAAAGCAGGAAAAGCCTTATGATCCTAAGCTAAGGGAGAAGCCTACCCCCGACACATGAGACAGTCTTTATTTAGTGGTCTCCGCGTGCCCCAGAAACTCAAAATGGCCAGGCTAACCTGGAAGAGGCCTTCTCCTCTATGCTGCAGTTATAAGCAACCTTGGTGCTTCCCACTGCCACCATCCAGGACGCGGGCAGAGTCCTGTGCTAAGCAAAGTGGCATCAGCAAGCGCTGGGTCTGACCCTGGGCGGGTGGTTCACTGCAGCTCCGTGCTGTGAAATTATCATGCAATGCCACGCAGTGCAAAGGGTGCGGGATGGCCCAGAGAAATGTAGGCACTGCAGTACTAGAAAGCAGGATCAGATCACTGGCTCTTTGAGCTCAGGCTGTTCCAGTTTCCTGCCCAATCTCATGCTCTTTGAATTTTTCATACAGACTTCACAGGAACCTTTGCTTTCACTGCTTTAAACACGAGTCTCCCGGTCAGGCAGGCTCAGACCCCAGAAGACAAAGGAAAGCAAGTGCTGTTAAGTTGATCTCACGATCACTATAGCTCATGGGATCTGGATGGGTGGGCCTGGCAATGCCATACTTCTAGGGGTGGCCAGTGCCCGTGCCAGTTATAGAAGGTGCCAAAACCTGTTTCTGGGGCACTCTGGGGACAAATCTGCAGCCAATGAAAGCTGCCTTTTACCTGGCTCAGTTTTGAAGCAGGACATTTCACATGTTCCATTACTATTTTAAGCACTTACAGTTTTATTTCTATTACCCATGGTTGAACCTTGCTGCGGTTCCTGCGCTGGTATCAAGCAGCAAGGAGCTCTGCAAGCTTGGTATGTGGCTCAGTGTTTCAGCTATGCAGCTCCCTAAAGGATGCATGCAAAATAAGAGTAAAGGCTCTGAGGCCAATGCACTGTCCTTAGCTGGCCCCTCAGTCAAAGGCCTCCCTCCTGGTTCACTGGCCGGATCTCCAGCTAACCACAAATGCAACAAATCAAATTGGTGGCTGGACGCAAAATCCAGAAAACCCCCAAAGCAATATGGGCAACAAGAGGAATTCAGATATTGAACTCTCCCCTTGGATGCTGCACAGTTACGCGGTTGCTTCCTTGTAGGAGTAAGTGTTTGTGGACTTAGACAAAAAGCTCTCTCCAGCTCTTTGTTATTAACTCTTTGGAAAGAGTCACCGTGATGCTCCAGAGCTGTCTTGAAGAGAAGAGAAGAGAAGAGAAGAGAAGAGAAGAGAAGAGAAGTCATCCACTGGGCTGGGACTGTGAGGTTGATTGCAAAGATGATGGAAAGTCCTAAGGATGCATTCAGATGACAAGGCCTGGACCCCAGGACAGTCTCCTCTCTGCTCTGTCCGGTGCTAAGTGCATGGTTAGCCCTCGGCAAACACATGAGTTTTGAGGATCCTTTGTCAGCTGCATTATCCAGAGCAGAGGCCAATGGGGTCCCATGGTACCCAGCGCTCTCCCTGCAAGCAGGTCATCCCTCTCTGTTGTGTGTGCGTGTGTTATAGACCTTCCTCCCCGGTCTATGTAGTTGGACATCCCAGAATGCCTTGCTCACATGATGCCCTGTGGGCACTCTATGCCTTTCACAGAATAGTAGAAAAGATGGGCTGGAAGGCATCTCCAGAGGTCACATGGCAGGATCAGCCCTGTCCAAACCAGTCCAAACAAGCCCTTTGAGCAGGACTCCAGTACAATGTCTGTCAGTCTCCCAGCCCCCACCTTAATTTGGGCTTTCCCCCCTTTGGGGGTCATTTCAATGGCTGGTAGAACTCGAATGGGGAGAGAACCAGCTAATGCATGCATGCAACGGGGCCATCCTGGCAGGAGAGGAGTGTTTTATGGGGAGATATAAAAGAGTTCGGTTTCCACTTGCCTACAGGAGAACGAACTGCGGCTCCCAAAAGAATGGAGCCCTTAGCCTTATTAAGAGGCTTATTGTGTATTTGTCATTTGAGGCTTTCAGAGCACTCTGTTATTCATATAATATCTCCCCAACTCAGCTGCCCTATTTGACACAGTCAGTAAGCAGGCTATCAGCCTTGCTCTGAATGTCAGACTCTCTGTTCTATTTGCTTAAAAAGGATTAAGCAGCCTTATCCGTGTTACCATCTCCCCTGGTTTTCAGAAATAAGAAATCTCTTCTATTCACAGCCGCATGTAATGAATATTTATACGCCCAAATCTCTATCGTCGGGATCTGTCACCGGATTATTCAATTTAATCAGAGTTTCTGGATAACTAAAGGCCCCTTGTAATTGCTAATCTCAGCCAACAAGTGGGCAACAGATTGAAAATTCCCCTGGACGCGACCCCTGACTATGCCTGGAGTTGGGTTAATGGCTTTTTCGGGTTTATAAAACACCTTTCCGCCCCTCGGTCCCAGCACCAGCGTTCAAAGTATCAGCGTACCTTGTTCTACATTTTAATGGCCTTCCATTGGGCAATTTCCTGCCGTGGCAGGTCCTCACTGAGGGTGCAGGGCCAACAAGAAGTGTCTAACTGACTATCTAAATGCACACGTTATCATTATCATCTACCAAATGGGGTAAAACAATAGTCAGATTCCCTGTTTTTTTGCAACTTCCTCTCTGATTCACTATCGGCGCTCGTGAAGAACAAAAACAAATCCAAGCACTGGACTGTGGTACTGAAGCAGACTGACTATACTGCATGTGTGCACGCCTGCATGTCAAAAGTAGTGCACTGTTACTAGATAACAGAGATGCTCTTGCAACTTAACTCAGAGCAGGAGCATCTGAATTCTTTCCTGATGTTGCCCTGTGGGCTGGAGGAGAGGTGGGGGGTTGGTCTGCAAGCCCAGTGTGGTCTGTGGACCTGATCAAGTACACAAAGCTTTTCCAGCCCGCGGCCCCAGTCCCATGAGCTGGATCAGGCCTTGGCCCTGGCCCTGTGCACTAGCCCCACCCCAAAGGCCTTGCCCCCATGTGCAGGGCTACATCCATCTGGCCCACAGGGCTTGGAAATTTGGCGGTGGGGGACAGGTGACGGTGCTAAGTGCCACTGCTTCCCTGCTGCCAGATTTCCGTACCTGTGAGGAGCCCTGCGGACGATGTAGCTCCACGGGCTGGAGTTTGAGCACCACTGATCTCGGACATCAGACCTGCTGCATGGCGTCAGCCCACAGGTCTCTCCAGCCCAGCTCCCGTTTCTCACAGGGGCACAGAGTGGATACAAAAGGGGAAGAGCGTCTCTGCAGGGTCTGTGCAGACTGATTGTCCCATGGTCCCTCTCTCCCTGCAGCTCCCAGCATGCAAAGACCTGGGAAATCCTGATTTGGAGCTTGTGGCCCTAGCAGTCGTATTTAATAGAGGATGATGAACCAATCCTGCCTGGATTCACCCAATCCCCTTTGAAACCTGGTTCAATGATCAGCCCCAGTCTGAGTTACCAAAGCAGCATCCTGACCACCAAGAAATTCCTAACTGGCCACAGGGGTTTTTTGGGGGGAAGGGGTTGTGGCTAAAGCAGAACTCACCGAGCATCTCCTGGCTTCCACCAAGGCGTAACAGCTGCTCCAGCCCTGTTGAGGGAGCGAGCCAGGAGACTGGGGCAGCCGTCTAGAAGGCACGACCAGCCCACAGCCAGGACCCTGCTGACAGTATAAACAGGGGGTATAAACTGAGGGGTACAGGGCGAGCATTTTACCAGCATGGAGTCTCACGTGCAGACTCACCTGGCCTTGATTTTCCAGCTTCACTTCCTCCACGGCTGTAGGTTTGGTCAGCGGAGCTGGCGTCGTATTGCATGGGTCCATCTGCTCCGTCTTCTCCACTTTCACCTTCACATCGTCCAGGCTCAGGGCCGGGGCAGCAGCCAGCTCCTTCTCGTCCTTGTCCAGCAGGTAGCGCAGGAGCTGATGATCCTTGATGTCCTTTTTCTTCAAGGCCTCTGGCTCCAGTTTGATCTCAGGTGTGCCCGGGATCTGACTGTGTGTGGTGGGGGCGGTGGGGGTGCTGGGCACATTCTCCTTCTTGTCGTGCTCCATGGACAAGGCGGTGATGTCGGAGGGGCTGCCTTCCTGCAGAAGCCGATGCAAGATCTTGTGCCGTTCCGTCAGCGAGCTGTGGGAGGAGGGACATGTGGTGCTTGGAGGGTTCCCGGATGCCGGGGTCCCCATGGCCCCTGTACAGGACAAGGGATCTTTGCAGCTAGTGTCAGCATCGGCATGCCGCAGCTGCTGCTCAGCTGTGCTGGCCAAGAGCTGGACCAGCTTGTGGCTGGTGGCCTGGGCGCCCTTGGCATCGCCCTCCGAGAGCCTGTCACTGGCGTGAAGCATGGCCGAGTCCAGAGGCTTGCTGTCCCCGGAGCCGCTGTCGGATTGGATCATCTCACTCAGGATAGAGGCGATCTCCTTGCTGTCCTTCGACTCCGTTTTCATGGGCTGCATGGCAAGGCGCCCGGGTGAGTTCTGGTTGCTCATCTGCCGCAGGACAGGCGGTGGCGTGGAGTAGCCCATGGGGGTGCTGGGGCTGTCGCCAAGCACCTGCATAGAGTTCATTGGAGCGCTGGGGTAGGGCCGGCTGCCGCTGCCACCTGCACCTCCAGCGCTGCTGCAGCCACTGCCGGTCATGCCCACGGGGGAGTGCATGGTGGGCATGGTGGGAGAGAAAGGGTTGTTGGGTGCTCTGGGCCGCGGGACCAGTCCTGGGCTAACCCGATGCCTGGGAGACATGAACTGCGGCGGTGTCATGCCAGGGCTGCCCATAGGTGAGCTGTTGAGGTTCAAAGTGTGGTTACTGTTCTGGGGACCCGCTTGTCCCTGGCTTAAGGCAACGTTGGCTCCTATCTGGCTCCCAGGGGAACACCCAAAGCTCGGCTGGCTGGTGGTGGAATTGCTGCTGTGGAGGCCAGAGCCTGGCTGCTGGTTCACGTTGGTTGCCAACATGCTGCCGTTGGATGGAGGGATGGTGGGTGGCAGGGCCATGCCTTGCCCCGGGCTGATGCTGGGGTTCAGCGAGGGGCTGACCCGCGGAAGGGGCATGGCGGAGTTCGCGTTCTCTGGAGGAGAGAGCATGCCGTGATCCCTGCAGGGAACGAGAGAGAGAGAGAGAGGGATGGGACACACACGAGTCAGAAGCCAGGATGAGCTCAAGCAAAAGCTCTTCAGCCTCTTTGGGACTTTGCTGTCCCCAAAGGCACCAGGCTGGGAGGGCTGGACAGGCCCACCTTGCAAGCTCGACTCCTTCAGACACCCCCACCACAGTGCTCGCCTCCCAGCAGCATCCTGGCATGCAGCAGGCCTAGCCACATGCTCTCGTGGGCACTTAATGCAATGCACAGCACCATGGCAACTGAGCAGCTACAACCCAGCGACGTGCGGCAAGGACGGCCTATCCCTCTGCTCTCCCTGCTGCCAGGCAAAGCCCGGTGCTGAGGGAACAGACCAGCACCCGAGCCCCTGTTCTTCAGCCCCCTTCTCCCTGGCCGGGAAAGGTCCCGAGTATGCCTGTAAAGAGCCGAGGGAATCCATGGTGCCGGGCGTTTGAAACGACTGCGAGGAGACAGGAGTCAGGGGGAAGCGCTGTGCTGGTTTTCGCCATGTGGCCCGAGGCCCGGGCAGCACGGTGGCTTTGCAGTGCACAGCTGGAAGATGTTAGCACAGCTGGCCAAGAGGGGTCACCCCTGTCTGCTGGTGCAGAACCAGTGCTGGGATCGCACTCTTTCCCACCTGCTATGGCTCCAGGCTTGCAGATTAACTCTGGGAGACCTCCAGTAGCTCACTGCCCTGTATGCTCAGGCTGCTCTTCCACAGTGGACTCCGGGCCTGGTTTCCTATGCCCTTCCCTTCCCCAGCGTTACTCCTCTGGCCTGCCCAACCAGACCCTGCCCTAAGCTCTGGGCCTCACCTGTCGATGATGTGGATGCCCATGATGAAGGGCTGCATCTCAGGACTCTGGGGGTAGCAGAGCTTACACTTGGTGTGGGCGCTCAGCACCGTCCCGTCGCTCAGTGTAAACCTGTAGGATGGGCTGAAGGCCGTGCCACGGGTCATCACTGTGGGGAGAAAGCAGACAAGCCTCCTTAGCTGTTCAAAACAGACCCCTGGTTCCTCTGGGTGTGGAGGGGAGATGGGGATGGAGGTAGGAGGGGCCCAAGGGGCAGGCACCTGCAGTGTAGGGAGGCAGGGCACTGCCCCCAAGCCCTGGGTATAGCAACTAACCCCTGAGAATCCAGCTATTTGTGTGCAAACAGGGCAAGCCAGGGGCAGTCCCCAGGCAGGCGGCAATGGTCCAGGTATTGCTCCCATTGCCATCTCCCACCGTTCTGACCCCACACACCACAGCAGGTGTCTGAAGGGGCAAGTTTGCTTCTGATGCTCTGTCAGTGTGCAAGCTGGGGGCACACCGGTGGCCCTGGGCACTGGGACAGAAGGGGCCTGCCCGCCTTATCTATCAGCTTTGACTTGAGTCCACTCAGTGCCGTCCTCGAGCACGCAGCCACAGGAATCGTTCGGTCCCCAACAGGGCACGCACAGCCCAGCCCTGCAAAGCCAAGCAGTGGCTGGGAGCTGGTACAGGCACTACCCACTGCCCAGTGGCCGGCACTGCACTTGCTCAGACGTCAGTTGCCCCTGTGCTACACTGGGCCATCAGGACTTTCTTTGTGCACGTGTCCCCCAACAGCACACGGAGCTTCCACCATGAGCGGCATGGTAGGGAGACGGGACATCCTAAAGCTCTCAGCCAAGTGCCTACAGGGAGCCCAGAGAGACAAAAAAGGCCTATCTGGGAAAAAGGGGGCAGAGGAAGCCGGCTCCTTGGGGGGTGGTGTGTACATGGGATCTGGAAGCAAAAGCACCTCGTTAGCTGCCTGTGCAAATTCACCTCACTGCTCTGCTTCCTGAAGGAGGGAACAAAACTGGCCTGAGACTTGTGAGCTTCAGGCCAGCGCTACCCCTTGGCCAAGTATCTGCTGTGGGGCTGGGCTGGGAGCAGGAGCTGAGCAAAAGGCGTGAGATCCCTGGCCAGCCTCTCATACCAGAGGGGCCTTGCCAGTGCTACTGAGCCAGTGATGCTGCTTCCTTTGGCACTTTGCAACTGATTGCAGCACTCGCTTCTTCCAGAACGTGCTTCTGCTGCCAGGGGGTCACGTGGTGGCTTCTGTCTGCGGCCACGCTGGCTCGGCCTGCCAGGCAGAGCGAGGGAGAGGCCCCCTTACCTTCTTGGAATAGCTGCTTGGCATATGACGGCTCTCTGCCCTGAGGCTGGAAGAATGCGTAGATGCACTTCCGCACCAGGTCCTCCCAGCCAGTCCTGCCTGCCGCTCGCAGGGAGCTGGTGTCAATGGAGATGATTTTACCTGGGTGGAAAGAGAGAAGGCACACTGTTGGCACATGGATGGGCCATGCACAAGCCACGTCCACGGCACAGGTGGGAACACAGGCCCAGGTACCCCGAGCTAACGCGCTTCGCTGTGAGGGAGAATTGCAAAGCAAGCAGCAGGCATGATCCTTGATGCATTTAACAGAGCCGAGCTGCTCTGGCTTTGCAGGAGTTACACGCATGTACATCTAGGTGCAAATCAGGCCTCCGAGGATCACTGGCAGAGACAACTGTGTGTTGCCCTTATCAGCAAGGCCTCTGCCTCAGCACTGCAGCATCCATGTGCGCTCAACTCCCTGACAGCCCAGCAAGGAAGGAGACTTCCAGAGATGCCCTTGGACTGATCAGGAAAGTGAAGCACCTGCCTAGAGGGCTCTGGGCAAAAGAAGAGCAGTGAGGCACCTCCTCATCATGCACCCTTGGGGTCTGCGAATAACAAGGGGACACAGGAGCCAGGGAATGAAGGGGGTGGAGAGCTGCAGGGAGCAGACTAGAGTCTGCATCCAGCCCAACAGCCTTGGCATTTAGCCCCTAGTGTCCTCTGGGTTTGTTCCCCTCACGTGAAAGCCTGTCAGCCCCTGGGCCCAAGGCTAGATCCCTGCTGAGCTGAGGTTCCCTAGTTTCCCATAAGCCCAGACAGCAGAGAGGAGGAACCAGCCAGCAGACCCAAGCCTGCCAGCTCTCCCTGAAAGCAGTAAGCAGCCTTGATCCCTTTGAAGCTCACTGGGGTGGAGCATGCTCTGCACCCAAGGAGCAGGCCCATTGCATTGCAGCAGCTGAGCTGCACAACAAAGCAAGCAGGACACAACTGTGCGGCCCCTGGGGATATGCTCCAGCATACCCGGCAGCATGAGCCCTCTTGCCAGCAGGCATTGCTGCTATCTGGACAAATGCAGCTTGAGCCACGGTGATGCCAATCCTAGCAGGTCACGGCTCACGATGACTATAACACGGGGGTGCACGTGGCTGGTGGCTGAAAACAGGACGTATCCAAGAGTAAAGGTAGGCTCAGAAGCTAGGACCCTCCAGCTGATGTCTCAGGCTCCCGTTGTGTTCTCCTCTGCTAAGGACACCCACCAGAAAGCAGGCATTTCTCAACCTGCTCCTCAGTCTTTTCAGAATCTCTCTACCCCCTCCAGAACCATGGAAATGTGGTAATACCTACTGCTGTTAAAAAAGCAGGGCCCAAACACAGCTGGACAGCTTCACGCCAGCTCTCTCTATAGCCTGCTTAAATTAAGCATCCTATGGCACTATCTGCCTGGCTGGCTGGAGTCCTGCAAGCATGCTATGTCCAGCCAGACTCCAACATACCAGAGTCCAGCTGAACTGATGCTGAGCCCAGGCGCATTCAGACTGCAAAGGCGGCTCCCCGGCTAGGACGCTGCCCAGCATGCAACAAGCCCTGGCCTCCCTCCGAACGGTACCTGTAGTATCTTGCTTGGTCACAAACGACTCTGTACTGGTGACAGCTGCAGGTCGAGGTAATCTCCGCGCGATGCATATCAGACACGACTGGAAATCTGCCAGGGTGGATGAGAGAGAGGGGAGAGGGACAGGAGATCCTGAGGTTAGAGCTGCCACTCGCTGAGCAGTGTTTTCAATGAACGCAGCCCTGCCGTGCTCGCCTGCCACGTCCCGCCCTGCGAGTGTTTACATTGGGCAATCATCAAGCCCTTCGCAGCTGCGAAGCTCTCTCCGAAGTTTGCTGGAAAAGGGAGGCTTCCAGCACTGGGGGGAATTAATTGTACGGCCTTTCAGCTCTGGCAGTGCCGTGCAATAAAAGTCAGCGCCCAACGCCAACAACTGTCGGCTCCAGGCAAAGTCTCTGGTCATAAAATACTGTAATTTATTCCTTCCAGTCGTGATCCCCTGTGTAAGCCGCAGTGGATTAATTCAGCTAATGCACTGGAAAATAATGGCTGGGCCATGGAAATGAGGGCAGGGCTTGTGTGGGAAGGCGCCTTTGTTCCAGTGGTTAGAGAACTGGGGTGGGGGAGCTCACGAGGGGCCTGATCCTGAGACTGAGCTGCACAGGCTGACCCTTGTGCCTATGAGGGGGGCCTGGAGACGTCTGTCTATAGAGCACAGACCAGGCGCTAGAGCCCCTGTCAATGAAGCACTGCAGCAGGTGACTAAATACCCCCAGCAGCACCAGGGAGGGAAGTGGTAGTGACAGAAGAGGCCAAGTGGGGCATTGAGGACCAGGGTGACTGGCTAGCACAGTCTAGTTCAGTCCCTCCAAGAGCAGCTCTCCCCAGCTCAGAGGAGGAGCACTGCAAGGCGGACCTCGCTGGGAGGGACCTTTCCAGGTAACCAGAAGATGCTTTCCTTTCCTGGGCTTCCACCTCTGGTTGCCCTTTGTGCCCTCTGGCTGCATGAGAGAGCAAACTGGCCCCTCTCTGCCTCCAAAGGGTGAGAAAGGCCTGGCTGGCTAGGAAGCCCTGAGCCAGACAAGGCCCACAGGTCCTGTCTAGCAGCTGGGCATTGTGTGGAGCCCATCTCCCCAGGTCAGAGAGCTGGCAGGCTCCCCTCCATAGCGCCCTGCTTCACACAGCCCTGCTCTCTATGCGGGTGCTCCTGTGGCTGCAAAGCACACTCCCAGGAAAGGTTAATCTGGCCCTTGCTGGACAGGTGAATTACCCACTCTGCCACTCAGCACCATGGCTGAGATGGGCTCAAAGGATCCATGGGAGGTGAATCAGAATGAAAAACACAGGGAGGAGAGACCTGGGGCGGCAACAGGCCTGACAGCTCCTCTGGCGGAAAGAGCCTGCCTGGCTGTCGCGGGCCCGGTGCTGTACCTGCGCAGTCCCCAGTGCCACAGGGAGCTGCACTCAAGCTCCTTGCTCTTGCTTGCAGAGGACAGGTAGCCCCCTCCTCCCACACTAGCCCCGGCCCCTCCCTCCACGAGCCACAGCACCTGCCCTACCTTCTCCTTCCTCTTTGATGGATTTGGGCTGGGACACTGTGAAGCACTGCATCACCTCGTAGCGCTGGCGGGCCTCCTGGTTCTCGGCGCCTGGCTCGTCGGGGGGCCGGATCAGCATTCTGCAGCTGAAGGTGTGGCTGTTGCGCCGGGTCGCCTCTTGAGGCCAAGGAACTCCGTTCACTGCAGGGACGGGAGAGGAGAGGGCAAGTGAAATGGGTGTGATCTGCATCAGCCTCTCCAGCCAGCTGAGAGCACTCGCTGCTTGCAGAATGGAGGGCAGGGGGAAGAGAGACCCAGGCTGGGGGGATGAGTGATGCAACGTTACCTGGCAAGGTACGTGAGAGCCAGGAGCAGGACACAGGCCTCCTGGGCAATGCCCGACCCACAGGACCAGAGGTCACGGGGTGGATGACACTGAGCTATACCCAACATGTAGCAGCCTCTTAGCTTGAGACCCGGGCATAAAGATGCATGCAGAAGTGAAATTACTTACTGAGGGCCATGCAGTGAGTCAGGGCAGAGCTTGTGACTCCCCACACCCAGCGAATCAGCCTGACTTGAGCCCTCTGGCCAGTCCCCACAGCCAGTATGCTCTGTGACACTGCCAGCATTTGCAGGGCCAGCCTGGGACCCCAGTCCTTGCACCTCCAGACGCAGCACCTCGGCCGCTGCACAGAGGCCCGGGGTGCCCAGGCCTCCTTTCTGAAGAGGAGTCTAGAGGCAAACAGCTTGACTCCCACAGAAGAGCCACTGCTCCCACCTGCCCATCAGGCAGATAAGACCTGTGCGACTGGAGACCCATGCACGGGCAGCTCTTCCAGCAGGTGATGCCACAGTGACGCCCCACTGTGAATGAGGACTGTCGAAACACAGACCCTGGAGCTAGGCTGAGACTGAGGCCTGGCCTCTGGGGATGCTCCGAGCCGCTAGCACAAGGAACAAAAGCGCTGCAGAGAACAACTGGTCGCACCCATGGCTTTGTGACAAAACTCCTTGCCAGCCCCGCACCGTGTTTGCTCTTCCAAGAATGAAGAGAGGGGGTGCCTCAGGCACCGTGGGGAAGGGGCAAGGCAAAGAGTAGGCCTCTTCCCCAGCAGGGAGCTGCGGCCCCGCTGAACGACTCCGGCGCAGCCAGCCCTCCCTGGCACAGTGACAATGCTATAGAGATAAGTGAGCGACCGAAACCCTTGCACCCCACCCCCCGGTGAGGCTCAGGCACCTTATCAGGCTGCACATAAGCAGTCCCTGTTTACCTGGCATCCAGGATGCCTCATCCCTCTTCCCCAGATGGGTCCCAAATGGTGGAGCAGTCTCCTGGCTACAGCACTCGCCCAGGGTCTCTAGACCCTCCTCAGCCAGAGAGGACTCAAATCCGCACCTGCTGCCCAGCAGGAATAAGCCCAAACCACTAGGTCTAGGGAGCAGTCTGAGTGAGGATGCCCTTCAGCCCCCATGCTGCAGCTGGGCCGTGGGGCAGCCAATTCATGGGGCCACACACAGAGCAAGACGGGGTCTGGGAACGTGTGGGGGTCCGTGCTCCCAGGGCTGTTCAGGCATTTGACACTAGACCAGGGGTGGGCAATTATTTGGCAGGGCTGCTCCCAGCACGGCTGCAGCCAGGCTCGCATTGTCACCAGGAGAGCGGGGTTCAGATGGCAAGGGATCAGGATTGCAATGCTGCCGAGACTGGAGCTACCACATGCCTAGTCCATGCCCAGAAGCCAAAGAGGAGGCACCGGGGAAGCTTCTCAGGCTCGAGTGGAGTCTTCTAATGAAAGGAGGAACCCAAGGGGCTGGACCGCTCTTTGTACCACAGGGGCCTAATCACCCCCAAGGTCCATTTAGGTGCCTACAGGCCCACTCAGGATCTGGCCCTTCACATAGGCTGCACCTTCAGATGCTAGACATCAGCAGGCCATTTTAGAGACAGGGAGACAAGCAAGGGGGAAGAGGGGGGTTGTCACAGATTTGCTGATTCCCTCCCAGCACAGTGCGTACGCTGCCCAAACGGGGTTTTGGTGGTATGGGGCCACGGGCCAGCTCTTGGCATGGGCAGGGCCGTCATCCTTACTTCTGTCCACAACGCTGGTGTTGCTGGGGGAAACTAAAGCTGCTCTCCTTGCTTCCGCAGAATGGCGAGGCCTCCCTCCAGCATTCGCCAGAAAGCAACCGCTGCCTACGCTCTTTCCAGCACGATAAAGCCCTTGCTGCAGAGCCGCGTGGTGGCAGATCATGTAGTGAGGAGAAAGTTTCCAGTGTGTTTTCTTGGAAGTGGTCTAACCACAGCGGCACATTCCAGTTTCCCTGATCGCACAGTTACAGCCATGTCAACGTTTCTATTATCAACCGCTATTTTCGGATGATTATAACTCAGCTGTACAGATTCCCCGTAGTTGGAGACCTGGCATTTAAGCTACTAGCTGAGGAGCCCTTGAAAGAAGACCAGCACAACATGCCTGACATAGCCTCGTCTAGCTGCTTGGGATTCTCAGAAGTCTGGATTCCAAGATGCTGTTTGCGTGCTGGGAATTCAGGACCGGCTTTAAATACTTCGAGTCTCGACTGGGAAAGTTTTAGGTCTTGTGCATGCACGTGAGCTAGTTCAGACCCTAGATTTTATTAAACCAGTGCAAAGACTCTACTTGGGTGGTTTTGAATGGACGGACCCCTGGCTTTAATGCAATTTGGGTTAAGCTGATTCCTTCCGAATGAGTCTAGCCCTCCAGGAGGCAGGTTTAAGCTATAGTAAGAGAGTGTGCAACACAGCAGCTCACGCCAGTCTGAACAGCTCTGGTGAAAGTGGTGCAGCCGTGGGAGTAGAGAGATCTGTCAGCTCTGCGCCTGCTTCCCCGCTGCAGGCAGCCTGAGTCAGCAGCTCTGGAGGAAGCGCATGCAAGGCCTGGCCATGCCCTGCTCGGTTTGTGGGGCTACCAGCGCTCTGCATGGCGTGTCTCTGCGGTGGGTGGGACAGAGTCCGCAGGAACCCTGGTGCGACACCCCCTTCACCTGCCCGTGAAGGAAGCCCCCAGGAAGCAAGGCACCCCCCTGCTTGGAGAGGGACCCATAACCTGTCCCCACCAGGCTAAGAGAAAATACACTGAGGAGGCAGGAGAAGAGCTAATGACCCCCTAGTTGCTCCCCCACCCACCCATCCACTCACCTCCAGCTTTGCTTTACAACTGCTTGGCACAATGGGGAATTTGGGCTGGAAAACACCAGTCCTGGGTCTGAATAGACACCTAAGCTTTCTAGCAGCCATTACACTGACAAGTGGATTTGTGTTATACCTAGAAAGATTAGCACCCGCACTTGGGAAGGTGAGCAAGGCTGGCAGCCCACAGAGCTGACCTTCCTCCAACAACACCCCGATCTGAAGGCGGCTGGCTGCGACCCAGCCATACCAAACCAGCATGCACTGTGCTCTTTGCTGCCTGGGGCCTGAAACTTCTGAGCCTGCCCCAACCTCGACAGACAGGGCACATATTTGGCACGTCAGCCTTACCAACGCCCCTGTAAAGTCAAATGCCCCAGGTGTGTCGCCCACAGACGTCCTCGCCAGGAGCAGCATGATGGTGCTGTGGAGTAAGCACCTTATTTTAAAAATGAGCTTAAGGGCCGATGAGGTGCCGCGTGCTGCAGCGGGGAGCGGGCGGGAGGGAGGATTAAGCAGGATTCCTTATGCTGGCTTGCAAAAAGCAACATCCCTCCAGCAGTTCTTCCTCCCAACTCCCTCCCGTCTCTGCCCTCTAGTGCTCCCCGGCACATACTGCTCCGCTCCACACCGGCTGGGCACAGCGGATGTAATGCACGTCCGTCCCTGACTGCCTCTGCTGATCCCCAGTCCATGGGAGGCCAAGGGAAAGAGCTCTACCAGCCCTTTTTAAAAGTGAAGATCAGTTAACCATTAATAGGAAGGATGTATTCTTGCTGTGCAAAGGTTGGTCAGGCTGCGGGGGTCGAGGCGGAGCTATACAACTTTGCTACCCCCGCACCGGGGTTACCTGTGCAGTCGCTGGGTTTGAGCACGTGTCTCGTTGTAATGAAGTGCCGGCCGCGGTGGGGTTAACTTCACTGCACTAACAGCAGCACTTCAGATAGTGCTGTTCTTCAGACGCCAACACATAAATACTGTAAGCATCTGACAGGTGGTGATTACAGCACTCTGCAAGTCTATAATGTCCTCCATACAAGAGCCCCAAAGCACTCCACGTACATTAATGCATCTAGTTCCACAAGCCCTTGAGAGATGGGCAAAGCTGTTATACACATGGGAAAACAGAGGCCCGGGCTTCAGACAACTGGTCTCATACAGACCCCCTGGCCCTCAAACTGCTCCTAGTTCGCACCTTCTTATCTTAGTTATGGAATATGGAGATTTGCCTCCAGGAAAGTGTCTGAACACATGGCTGACTTCATGCATGTGCTTAAGGCTTGCTGAAGTCAATGCAACTTAAGCACATGCTTAAAGGCTGACCATGCACAAGGGTTTCCAACCTGGGGGGACTTGGCTTCTCCATGTGGCTAAATCAGGGTCAATGAGGGTGCCTAGGTGGAAAGCCTTGGGTGGTACTGATAAGGAAAGGGTTAAATACTGCTACGTGGAGATCAGAAGAGCTGTCCCAGCATGCAATGCTCCATCAACACCCAGTTCAGTGGCAGGGGAGGCTAAAAGGCCCAGCATGCAATGCTCCAACTCAGCCCGTGCAGCGAGCCTCTTCAAATCCAAAGAGAACACTGCGTGCTGGGAATGGACAGCTCTGAAACCTGCCCCCTCCCCTCCAGAGAGTGGTGCATGCTGGGAAGGGATGTCTCTAAAGTCAGCCTTTTGTCTATCGAAGAAGGAGGGCGTTTGCAACCTAGCCCACGTCTGTGCAGCACCCAAGCTCCCAGTAACCTGCAGGAGGCTCTGGCTCTCGATAGTCCAGGACACGGTCTCCAGGTAAGGACTGCTACTGAAAGGGGCCCGGCCTCCCTCCACAGGCCATGCTGGACGTGCCCCCAAAGACCAGATCAATAACCATCCCATGCCGCCGGGTTTGCTGCCGCTTCAAGGAGATGCGGAGCAAAACTGGAACTAAACCACGTTGTCTGAATTGGGGGAAACGAACCCCGAGACTGGCCTCTTACCGAGAGACTTGGGCAGCAGGTTCTTGACGAACTCGGCGTGATCCCCCACGTGCAGGATGCTGTAGACGCTGGTGTTCATGAGCTCCTCCTGGTTGTAGCCCAGGTAGCCGGTCACGTTCTCAGACACGAACACGATCCTCCCTTCCCGGTTCACGACAAAGAAGAAGCCATCCAGCGCCTGCAATGCCCAGAGGAGAGAGGCTGTCAGGGCGAGGGCAGGGAGTCAGGAGACCTGTGTTTTATGCCACCAGCTTAACTCAATGACCTAGGGCAGTCCCTTTGCCCCTCCACACCCATCTACCCTCCTTTTCTTTTCTCTTTAGGATGAAAAGGGTAAGGACTGCCTCTCGCAGCACAATGGGACTCTGGTCTCTCCAGGGTCCCCAGTCTCCACTGTAACACAGAGGCCAGGGGACCTCAAGCAGTCTGGCACAATTAATATTGGTCTTTCCTACACTGTCTTGCTCTGTCCTGTGATTACTATCCCCTACCTAGTCCCCTCTATGGGTTGTTTTTCATCCTTTTTCTTAGGTGCACGAAAGACTCCTCGTTATCTATGGGTGGTGTCTGATGCATAATTAATCGAGCAAGCTGACCTGAGAGAGGAGATTATCTAAAGCACAGTCAGCTGGATCTCCTTGATGGCAATAAAGCAATAACCACCCCGACGATGTGTGTTATGATTAGCCAAGGGGCTCTAATGGTAATGAAGGATTTCATAACCTCCGCGGAGCTTTTGTTGAGGATCAAATAACAGTGCATTTGCTTAAGCATGTACTCTGGCCCTGGGAGCTACATTAAATAGGTCTCTATAATCTGGTGCCGGGTAGCCAGCAGCCAACAAGCCCTCTGAAGAGTCAGAACAGGCTGCAGGGCCCTGATGCTCGATTTGCTGAATTGGGGCCCAGGAACAAAAGATATTCTGCATCTACCTAGGAACATAAGAAGTGCCATACTGGGTCAGACCGGTGGTCCATCTAGCCTGGTACCCCATCTCGGACCGGCAGAAGCAGGTGCTATACAGGGAGAGCACTGAACTGGATAAACTAGAGTGATGTATTCTCTATTTAACACCCACCCTGGTGTCCACCTTTCCTGGTTTAAAGATGAATCATCTCCAACCCTTCTGTGCAACAGCCATTAACAGATCTAGCATCCATGAATCTGTCTAGTCCTTTTCTGAACCCAGGTAAGCTCTGTGCCTCCACCACCTCCTGTGGCAGTGAATTCCACACGTTAACTACGGGGTGGGTAAAAAAAGTACTTTGCCTTAGTTTGAAACCTGTGCCCTGCTCACTGCAGTGGATACCCACTAGATCTAGTATTCTGGGACTTGGTGAACAACAGTTCCCTGTTCGCTCGGTCCACACCCTTCACCATGTTACAGACCTTGATCATATCCCCCCTCATCCTTTTCTTTTCCACATTGAAGATTCCCAGCCTCTAAAGCCTCTCCTATGGCAACCGCTCCAGGCCCCTGCTATTTTGGTTGCCCGTCCCTGTACCTTTCGTCGTTCCACTGCTTCCTTTTCGAGATGCAGACACTAGCACGGCACACAGTGTTCAGGCTGTGGGCACACCGTGGATTTGTATAGGGGCATGATGACATCCTCTGCAGGGTAATGCACGTTTCCACATACCAGGCACGCAGCTCAACGCCAGACCAAGCCCCACAATCGCCTGAACCAGGTCTGCAAACAGGGTTTGTTCTTGCAAAATGCAACCAGCAGGAGCATGATCGCTGGTTTTACTGGGAGCAGCATCACCACCCTATTTACCCTTATGCTTCAGTGGGGAAAAACTGTGGGGTAGCAGAGAGGCCAACTGTTGTTTTACAGGATGGTCCCTGGATGTTTCAAGCCAGCAGGGTTGGATGTTCACCTCCCCAAAGCCTAATTTCACCCCCACCTTTAGTCATGACCACCACGTGCCCCAATGGAGGCCCTGACCCTGCACACGCACGGCATGGGGAGACCCCCTCAAAGGCAGGCAGAGCTCTGACCCCTCGGGCTTGCCCGCGGGCCCCTTGCGTGGATCAGACTGCAGGATCAGGGCCCCACGCTGCCAGGCCAACAAGTGCCGGCGTCTGTGGTTTCGTTATCCATTTGCTCCCGGCATCACCCACCTGCCCCTCCGACCCCGCTCAGGATAATGTGATTTGCCGTCTAATGCCGGAGTAAGTTACTTTGCTACAGAGTCCGGCTTCCTTATTGAATGCGTTCTCTGGAAACCAGGTTTGCCATACAGCACCGTTCAACGCTGGAAACAGGAAGCAATTTTTTTCAAAGAAATCTTTTGACAAAATTGCCTTGGCAGATCAGCGGCAATTTTCCTTATTCACAGCTGTTGCCTGTTGCCAAGCAACTGGTATTTGCACTTCATGCTCCCGCAGCAGAGCCTGTCTCCTGCAGAAGAGTCAAATGGGTTTGTCTGCCGGCCCCCCATTAAACTTTGCTCTCCAACTTTCCTCCGATTTCTGCACATGCTGCTCTTTCCTCCGCTGCCCTCCCTCCCTCCCACCATCACGGGAACGCAGCTTGATCCGGCACGCTGCAGCATCGAGTCGAGGGAGACCGGCACAAATAAGGCAGACGGAAAATAAGATTGGCCAAGGAAACCAAATGAATCAGCGCCTAACAAATGGTCTAAGCTGGGGTGTAAATCAATCACGGCTCCATTAACACAGGCAGGATGATGTCTCATCAGCACGCAACTGGGACTGGATAATCCATTCCGGGAAACTGGACGAGAAGCCCGCGCCTCTCGCATTGGCAACCTCGCTGGAAGCCAATATGCATTCACTGCTTTTTAAAGGGAAGGAAAGGATGCGGGCAGCCTGGGATCCTGGGCCAAGGCGGGGGAAAGCGCAGGGTCAGGTCTGCACGTCGTCCTCTCCGGGGTTTGCAGAGGGAAGAGGCTCCTGAGCTACATGCAAGTGGGGTACCGGGACCCACTCCTGTCCCATTATCAAGAAATGTTCTGCAACAAGGTTTGCCAATGCTCAGCTTATCAGCAGTGCTGAGGACAGAAGTCCTGGCCCATGCAACAGATGGCTATGGCCAGCAGGAAGAGAATAAATCCCATGCCTTTGCCCGTCCTGCCCCACGTGATGAGCATGGGCTCCCGGGGTGACAAAAAGGGTATCTGGTGATGAATATATAATGCCATGGAAAGGGAGACGGGTCGGGAAGAGACGGCCTGCAGAATACAACCCCCAGTCCAAAGACTGGCAAGCGGCCTCTATCATGTTGGTGCCCCGGCATTAAGGTCCCCAGGGATTTTGGCCACCTCGGCAGCAGCCCTGCCTCAGTCCAACTGTTGTCTTTGTGTTGCAGCCCTGGTGTCGGCAGGCTCTGAAACCATGCCTCAGCTGCATCGCCCATTGGGAGCAGAGAGACGGTCATTATTAATAATATTGGTATCGCTGCGTGGACAGCGTGGTCTTTGCACTGCGCACATGTTCGCTAATTCGTCGCTGCGGCCCCTGCTCCGGCCAGCAAGTCGTCTCTCCCCGTGGCAGGGCAGGGGCCGGTGCAGCCGGGCATGCGACTCTGGAGTGCTGATACCTCCTTCCTCTCTGGCTCCAGACTTCGTTTTGCCCCATTTCCTTGTGTAGAAAAGGGGTGTAATGCTCTCCTGCCCCTCGGGGTGGGCTGTGGGGGTTTGTTCTGGTCTGCAGAGATGCATGGAAATCAAGGACCCAGTACCAGCTCACCTGAGTCCAAGCTGACCTGGGGTGGAGGGGAGGGGTCTCCCCATGAGCATCAGTGCCCTACGGTGGGTGGAAAAAAGCCAGATATGCCTGGAAGGAGAAGTTTGGGGAGTTTCCTCTGCTCTGACCCTATAATAGACAGTGCTCCCCACCCCCTTATACAGACATGAGCCTCATCCCTCTGGACTGCTGGCGACACCAGCACCCTCCCCACATCTGGGGCACAGCCCTAAAAGGGGGTGGCCACAGAGCTGGATATTCAAGAAGAACTTCAAGCTCTGGCATCTCCTTGAGGATGAAAGTTTTGATCCCACCAGATCTCATGGAGCCAGGCGTCCAGGACCAAGGCTACTGCACTCCAGCACAAGTGTACAGGACAGGTACATCACATGGGCACGTGCAAGGTTACCTGTTAGACAGCCTGTCCCTGTCCCCGCTGGCTGGGAGACCTCTGGACGCCTGCTCCCTGACTCGCCAGCACACGGCAGGGCAGCGTGCGAGTGGAGATTGGGCGCATCAAAGAGAACGAGTCTCCTTGTGCTAACGAGGGGTGCAGCTCCCCTTGCAGCTGAGAGGAGGGTGATGTACCGCAAAGCAGCTCCTAGCCCATGGTTGGGGAAGCTAAGCCAGGGCAGCTTAAACCTTCAGAGATGTAGGACTAAGTTACTGCAGCTCAGCTAACACTGAGCACGGGTCAGGAGTGGATGCATGGATAGAGCCCTCAGTGCCTCTTAACTCACTGCAAATGGCTTGGTTTTCTGCACCCCAAGGCCTCAACTGTCCCCAGGAAGGAGCAACCAGGTGCTTTAAGTAATGCAGCAAACACAACTCCCCTGCTTTCCTCGTCCTGCCCTTTATATTCGCTGCGGTTTGCGCCTGAGTGGTGCAGAAGCCAGCTCCAAGCAAGCACTGATGGCACCCCTGGTTACAAGACAAGTACAGATACAACTGGACATCGGCTCTGAAAACCAGAGATAAATACACAATCTGACTTAGGTTTACGGTGCATTTCAAACAACAGCACGTTGTCTCTGTGCGAGCAATGCAAATTGGCGAGGGTCGACGTAACTGTCACGTGCGTGGTGCTGGGGCCCTGGTGTCAGGCAGTGGCTTTGTACCAGAAAGCAATTTCCCCACCTGTTTGACATACTGGCAGCAAGGGTCTCAAATGACAAAATGATCTTCCCACCTGCGTATGTATAATTATTACCAATATTTTTAACACGCGGCATGTGGCAAATTCTTTTCAGAGCAGAGCTGCCAGCGCCGCAGCGCAGCTCAGCATCTCTTCCTTGCAGAAGTGACCCGCTCATGCCTGCTGCTGGGCACAGAACAGTAACCTTGGTCATGGAGAAGTTGATCTACTTCAACTTCCCCTGCCTTGTAATGACCCCAGTTTTCAGCCCAGTCTGGAATAGGCTCACCATTTCCTCTCGTCAGATCTGTCTTCTCTTCGGCATCCTGTAGCTGTTCATGCTCCAACGCGCATGCCACTTCTGCTTTTTTTTGCTCCCTTTAGACAGAAGACTTCCTTTGCTAAGCTGCCAACTTCCAATTAATTCTGGCCACATGTTTCAGGCATATGTCTTCTCTTCCCTTCACAAATCAGATCCTTCCTTACAGTTCAAATCTGTTCTCACCTAGCCATCAGCTTCGCTTGTAGGGAACCTTTGATTGTGCCTCAGCAGCTCCTCCATGGCATTTGGCTTTGGCTATAAAGGCACTCTCATCATCCGGGATCCTCCTGCCGGGAAGCAGACACGGGCACTCAAGGTTCAACACTGTCAGCACTTCCCGATGGCCAATATGTCTTTTTGGTGCCTAACACAGCCACTCTGGTGACAGCCTCTACTTTGCTCCAAGAAATCAGCTTGCTCCCAGTGCTGGTCTCATAGCAGATCACACTCCCCCAGTCCTTGCAGAGCTTCGTATTACATTGACTGACAGCACAGCCCCACTTGCTTTTGTGCTGTTACCTTCTAATGGGCCACTTCAGCTCCCAGCTCTCCCCTTGGCATTCAGGCTTCCTGCAATTCATTTGCATTCCTCATCGGCTAGCTAACTGGAAGAAGGCTATGACCGTACGGCAAGGAGTCACGGGAGCTGAAGGAGCTACCAAGGCTTTCATGCTCCAAACCATTTCCAAGGTGCTCTATCTACCCGCTGTCTCAGGCAATGCAGCTGGAGGTTAAGTTTTCTCCCAAAGTACATCCCTCTCCTAGCTTAGACTAAGTGGAAAGCCTGGAATTACATCACGGGACTGGGGAGAGAGGGCATACAAGCAAAATACAAGAATGTACACTGGACAAATGCTTCCCCAAAGAGGGAGGAGAGGTGTGTCAGGGATTTGCATGGAAGCCTTCAGCCCAAAATCCGTGAAATGGCCACCTGGTGCTACTAGTGCTGTGACTTGACATCAGGGCTCAAAAATGGGCTGTTATGAGCCAGGCATAGCTAAAGCAGACACTGCTAAAGCTCCTCCACCTCGCTGTTTGCCAGGGCTGTCGGCACCACCACTGCACACAGCAAAGCGCCTCACCCTTTCCTAGCCCCTCCAATAATAATAATATAGCCAATAATGTAGCCGTGTTGACAATTATCAAGATAGGTGATAGATTCGCCTTCACTGCAACTCTTTGGTCAAAACTGCAATTCATCCACACGCCACTCATCAGGCTTCAGGCAGGAGTCACCAGGTCAGTTTTATGGCTTGTGTGATGCTGGAGGCCAGACTAGTTGATCAGGATTTTCCCTTTTGGCCACAGACCTGGGAAATCCTTAACTTTTGCAGATCCTTTATATAACAGTGTGCTCCAGGGACACCACGCCTCTGACAGCCCACAGCCCAGGGAGGAAGCTCTCAAGAGCCCCAAGCCCAGACTGCAGTTTGCAAACCAGTTGAGCATTTGAAGATCAAGGGCTTTTCCCCCAACCCCGACTGTCTAATATCGAGCTCTCTGTAATACAGAACAGGTGCCACGTTTGCCCCCCAGGTGCCACATCTGCCCACTCAGTAATGCCTGTAGCTACCCAATGTTCATTCTGGGTCCCTTCCTGGTATAAGTGAGCACCTGAGCTACATGAAACCTGAATTTCCAGTTTATACTGGAGATCCTCACCACATTCCAGCTGCCAACACTATAAAACCTCAGCCTGAAGACCAATTCTCTAAGCCTGGCAGATTATTCGGTAACCCTTGGAGGAAACTGGGTGTTGGATTTCATCAGCATCTAGAGTCTCCATGACACCTCCATGCTGATAGTAAGCAGCTATTCATAATGGCTTTGATACATGCAAAACACCTGCTCACATGCTTAAGTCCCATTGAAACTAGAGTGAGCGAAGCACATGCTTAAGTGCTTTGCTGAGTAGGGATGGACTCCCAGGCCTAAATGATTTGCTGAGCTAGAGGACTAAAGAAGGTTACCCGCAGCTTTGGGAAGGGGGAATCCAGCCTAGAACACCCTAAAACAACTGGGCTCTCTCCAGATGACAGAGCTGACATCTGGCCCAGGATTCGTTACAGCAGACTCGGACTTTCAAAGCAAGATGACCGGCAGCACCTACCTCCAGGAGAAGAGGCCCCAGGGATTCCTTCTCGATCACTCCTTGGCTGCTGGAGGAGATGTCGGACTTCTGGACATCGTCGTCAGCTGCCTTCTCTGCAGAAAGGGGAAAGGGCAGGTTTTAGCTACACAGAACCAGCTTTTTTTTCCCATCAGAAAGTCAGTGTTATAAACAGAGCCCTGACGAGGCTTTTGTGCCCCCCACCGTGCGGCTGTGACTTTATTCGGATCTGCTGATGTGCGCGTCCCCCTCCACACAGTGAAAGCAGATACGATGTCACTTTGACTCGCAGCAAAATGCAGACCATAGCCCGCTGCGGTTGGGGATGAGAGGTAAATGAGGAAGGACTAACAAATGGCCATTTCAAAGCAGAAGACAGAAGGAGGGGAAACTGAAGACCAAGCTTTGGAAAAGAGGTGAGCTAGCGCAACCTTAGCGCAGGCTAAAATATCTGGGCAAACAGATCTGTGACGACTCCGTCAGGATCTGGATGGACGGCGAGCGGCAGAAAGTCACAAAGGCCAGGCCGGAGGAAATCCTAGAGCCTACAAGACACAAAACATGGCTGTAACACAGAGGCAGCCAGCTGTGCAGCACTGCTGAGTGCCTGGGAGCTGCAGGGACCCAGGACTTGCAGAAATCACAGGCCAACAGCTCTTAGTAAACATGACATAACCCCCTATTCGAGCGAGAAGGCAGAGCTAGTTTCTCTTGGGTAAAAAAACCCAGAAGGCGGACCTTGTCACCTACCCCCAGCTGCCAGCTGCTTTCAAGCCAAGGGTCAGGCTTGGGCCTTACCCCAGGGTGTAAGTCATGATGGGGTGCATGGGAGGTGGTAGAGCCAACAACCACACCAAGTCGGCCATAAAGCTCAGGAGGCTCCGGGCCAGGCATTTGGCATAGCTTGTTACTCGGCACCGGTTCGCTTTCCCCACCCCACCCTGGCACGGCCTTGGGGGCTGAGCGGGGCTTTCCTGCCCTTGAGAGAGAAGAGGACAGCGGGGGAGTTGCAACAAATCAGAAGGGACATCACATGGACAAAGCGAGGACTGGACTGGGGCTCAGGAGACCTGGGCTCAATTCACAGACACCCTGCATGACCTTGGACTGGCCGCTTGGGGCCAGATCCTGTTCTGCCCATTAAGTGCATGGGTGGATGTAGGTGCCTAAGCGCAACCCTGTGCCACCCTGCCGGGATCCCTGCAAAACAGCTCGTGGGTGGGTGGGTCACCCTCTTCCTCGCTCCTGTGTGGCTCCGTCTGAAGGCTGAGACGGCACACAACAAAAAGATGCATTTATGGAGTCTCAGCAACTCGAGACATGATCCCAGCAAAGCACCTCCCGGGGGAGCAGGCGGGTGCCCTTATGCCCTTCAGTGCCGGTTCTTCATCTGAACTGTGGGGATGGCAGGCTGATCCTCCTTCCTAGGGGTGTAAAAATGACCTTGATGTCTATGAGGAGCACAGGCCCTTCAGTAACAGGAGCCACCCACACCCCAGCAAGTCAGGAAAGGGACATTTCAGCCACAGGGGCCTCAGCAAAAGAAAACCAAGAGGATGCTTGGCCTGTGGGTGTGAAGGGAATAACAATGAGAGGATGGGGGCAGGTAGGGGTGGTGCAAGAAGGTGAGAGGTAGCCAGTGAAGGGTGAGCAGAGTGATGGCAACAGGCAAGATGAGGAGGTGCACCAGTGGCACTGCACCCAGAGGCCTGATCCTGGAAGGGATGAATGCCAATGGGAGGTGAAATACAGACAACAGGGGTCTGCCCACTACCCCGGGAAGTCCTGCACTGCTCTACTATAAGGCCTGGCACAAAGAGCTCCCAAACCCCATGGCAACCCAAGCCCGTTGCTTGCTTGCATGGCGACACCACAGCCTGGCTACTGCATGGCAGACTCCAGCCAGGCATCCAGAACCAACTGCCTGCCCTGGCAAGGTGCACAACACAACCTCCGCCAGGCTCCCGAGCCGCCAGCCAGCCTCCAAGTTCAATGGTGCCCCACGACATGTGCTCCCCACGGCATGCAAGCGGGAGAGCAAACTCCAACCCACAGCGGAAAGGGGATTTCAAGGTTTCAAACTTCAAGGTTTCAAGCTCCCCCACGGTGGAAAGGGGATTTTAGAGGTTTCAAGTAGGGTGGAGTCTCCGGGTGCAAAAGGAGCAGGGGGTGACTGCCGGCCTGGCCAAAAGGACTCACGATGTGAAAAGACTGCTGTGCTCTTCCTGGCTGTTCAGTCCATGGAAGAAAAGCAGTGATTTGTACACTGCTCAGAGGTTTTAAATCCTAACAAGAAAGCCAGGAAGCACTAGGTGCCATGGGCTGTGCCCCTCCTTGGCACCAGGATTCTGGGGCTCATGTCACGTACTATGCATCGGCAGAGGATGTGCGTTTTGTTAAAGGATTAAGAGACACATGACGGGGAAAATGACTGCAAGACCGAGCCTGTCAGACCTGGGACGCCTTGGCCCAGTCACTTGGAAGGGCAAGCTGGGGGTCTGTACATCTTGCCATCCCCACAGACTGCAACTGGAGATGCAGGGCTGGAAGGGAGCTCGAGGTCATCTAGTCCAGCCCCGACCTGCAATAGTGAGGAATGAGAGGCCTCCTTGCGCCTACTGGAGAATGGGCTGCAAGCACGGTGCCTCTCCGGGGTCACATTCCCATCCTCAATGACTCCTCCAGCAAATTTGCACCGTTTACAAGATTTTCCCAAGGGCCAGAGCTGCAAACTCAACCCGAGAGCTGAAAATGAAGCCGTGCTCTTTCTGCATCGTCACCAGCCGTCAGCAACAATAAAGATCCTGGGATCAGGATGCGGCTGGCAATTTGGCGGATGACGGGCCGGGCACAATAGGCTGCCGCCTACCCCACTGCGGCGGGGCTGGCTCTGCAGTGCAGGCAGGAGTAAAAATACCTGCCGTCGTCAGGAAAGCAGGCACAGGGAAAGCCTGCGGCTCAGCCCTGCACAGCGCTAGGAGCTGACAGAAGAAGAGGAGCCTGAGTTAGATCGGCTCATAAACTGGGTGATATAACATGGTTCAGGGGACAGGGTTTCATGGTCCAGGAAGTCCTGTCCAGCCTGGGACAGGATCTGGCCACTGGAAAGAGAGGGCTCTGTTTCCCCATGGTTGCTTTAAACAAAGGGAAACCCCTCGCCCTCACTGGTCCCTGTGCACTGTTCTTTGTGCTGGGAGCAATGCTCTCGAAGACACAGCACTGTCTCGGAGAGGACTTGATCCTGCAAAGCTCCCATGGACTTCGGCAGAAGCCCAGCTGGAAAGAGGCAGCTGATGAAGGGAGGCAGCTGAAAAGGTCTGGGTACTAGCTGTCAGAGGATGGACTTGGGGTTAAGGCACTGGACCTAGGGGTTCTGGGTTCAGTCCCTGGCTCTGCCACAGATAGCTACGGCCACCCCAGGGCCTGCTGCTTCATTTCTGTGCCTCAGTTCCACAGCTGTGAAATGGGAACAGCTGCTCCAGGGCACTGCAGAAATAGCGCAGGGACTCAACAGCTGCTGCGAGGGGGCTCATAAAAGCACGGGTGCAGGAAGAGGGAAGAGAATCTGCCTGGGGACAATCAAGGCTTCTGTCCTGTTTTTGTTGCACCTCCTGCAAATTCCCAAGTTCTGCCGTCCCCTTCTCCAGGAGACACCTCCGCAGCCCCAGCAACCGAGCTGTTCTCCTCACATGGCTGCTTGTGGCCTGCTCTGCACCCATGCTGGCTCGATGTCACCCCAGCGCTGAGGACAGCTCAACTCCACGGTTCCTCTGAGAGGGGTCCGATGCAGCCCGATAGTTCCCACGAGCACGAGATCAATTGCATGACTCACGTGAGCTCAGATCCAACAATATTAATGAGCAATAAGTCCTATGACTTGGCACTGGGCACTGGATAAATGGGTGTTGTCTCACATCATGCCCATTTCCCTTTAGGATTTTATCCCTTTGAAAAGAGACCATGGATGCATTTCCCTGCCTTCGCCTCTGAGCCACCTCCCCAGTGAGTGATCTTAGAGGTGCAGTGGACCGTGCCCTAGCTTGGCACTCAGGGGAGCTTGGTTTTAGTCCTCGTTCCTCCAATTACCTGCTGCTGTGCTTCTGTCCTCTCTCTCTACATAATTAGGGAGGGACTGGCTGCTTGCCCAGCCCCTACCCTGGGTCTCTGATCTTGCCTGGGACCTGCAGGTGCTATGGTAAAACACATAAAATATTGCTGTTAGGAACAACAACAATGCAGGATCAATGACAGCAAGGCAATGCTGATTCAGGTCCCTGCCCCAGGCCACAGCTAAGGCGGCTCAGTGAGAGCCACCTGAGTACAGCACTTCGCTGCAGCCCTGTTGCGTGACCCAGAAAGAGCTCTGCTCTCCTCCTCATGCTGGCAGGCTCTGAAAGGCAGACCCACTTCCCAATACAAAGCCCTGGTGCAACAGGGGAGGTGTGAGAGAAGTCAGGCCAGGCCTCTGCGACACCCAGATCAGATTTCCAAACAGCGTGAGAGGAGGAAACAGCAGTGCCAGGCGTGCTCAGTGACATGCAAGGCCTAGGCTTTCAGAAGTGGCCATCTCCCCTGCACAGCCAGCCCTGCTGCTGCTGTGATGCTGCATGGCCCTCCTAAATCCCTCACCCTCTGAGGGTCAAGGACTACTCCAGGCCCTGCCAGGCTTTATCTACCCCCCAAAGCAGAATGAGTCCCAAGGAACAGTATGTTGCTTGCCTTCGTTCACGGCTGGGACCCTACAACTCGCATGCACTGTACAGCAGTGTGCACCATCCATATTACACAAAGGACTCCATTATGCACATCCACAGGCCTTTGCCCCTCAAGCAGGTGCCCACACGTGGAAGTGCTCAGCTGGTGCCGGGGTGGGATTCCCGGTCAGGTGACCCCCTTTGGGTCAGTCACTTTAATAATAGTTGTGTGACCTTACTAGTACCTGGAAGAACCTTGCATTTCAGGCCTGTCTTAACAGCTTCATGGCTAAGAGACTGGGCCATGAGTCCAAGAGCCCCGAGCACTGGATATCTCTAGCCCTGCCATTGACTCCCAGTGTGATTGGGCAGGATGCTCCAGCCCGCTGGGTCTCACCGTGAAGTGGAGACCAAAACCCTT